AAAAAATCACAAGGATGATCCACAAATAGCTTTTGGTAATTGATAGCGATCAACATGAAAATTTTTTTAAAACTAGTAGTATATATATAGAAGTTTATTGTCCGCTCCTTTTTCTTGAATATATAACTGGTAATAGGATCATCAAATCAAAATCAACAAAGAAAATGACAAAAACAATAGTTATTATAATTAGTCTGCCTTGCATAGAGAAGCATTATGCTGTATATCGGCAACTTTATATTTTCGATGTATGTTCACAATGGTACACATCGAAATTGTAATATAATATACTCATCTATCCATCATCGGAATTTAGAAGTTATTTATTTCTCAAAACGGCTTGCCTTAGAACATCCATTTGGTTTATTTATTTATTTATTTATTTTCATATTTTTTTTCCAGAAAATCTTTTTTATAATCAATTTGCTACCAGATGTTGTTGTTATATCATAAGTTTCTTTTTATTTTTCTCTTCATTCTTCTTCCTGGACTGTGATCAATTATGCCGGAGAACATTTTATCATTATTTTATCGTTAGGAAAGGCAAAAGAAAGACTCACGCCTGTCATGTGAGAGCTCAGATAAATATATTAAAATGAACGTCTATAATGGCTATTAACTTGAAATATATTCGATTAAATTCTCCAAACGAGAGACCAAGCCAACAGGTTCGATTTGAATCTTGAGATTGGGTGTGGCTCAAGAGATGGAACGTCCCATCTCACCGATACCCACATTCTATTATAATTTATTCATAATTAAAGACTGTTTAGTTACATTTAAGCCACTCTATAATATCTTTCAAGTTTTGATTTCTATAAGTGTTCAACAATCATTACAATTTCATAAGTTCAATCAAATATTGAATATATAATTTAATAATCTTCTATGTTTTTTTCATTTACAAAATGTTATACAACTAAATGTTTTTATTTCGTCGAATCAATGAAAGATATGCACGACCATCAGTACCTATTGGTCCATCAGGTCTTAATTCATAAACAGTATCTTCAATTGATTCAATTGTCCAACCATGATCTGCCGAGAATAATTGATTTAAATCAGCTTTTGTTATACGACGTGGTCCACCTTCACGAGTTTCTTTTTCACTAAAACATATTTGAATATAAAGACCATTTGGTTTAATTAAATATTCAAGATTTTTAACATAAATTTGACGATCATCATTTGAAAACATATGAAAAACAGCTGCATCAAGAATAATATCATATGAATGTTGTTTTAAAGTATGTGTTGTTATTGTTGAAAGATCATCAAGCATATTAACAGCTTCAAATTGAATATTAACATTATTTTTTTCAGCTTTTTCACGTGCAACTTCAATTGCTTTTGGCACCTAAACAGAATTTGATATTTATTTAAATTACAAAAAAAAGAAAATGTTTTAGATTTATTTACTAGATCAATTGCTGTAAGATTAATATTCTCTACATGATTTTTAATATAGATTGCATTATCAGCAATACCACAACCAATATCAAGTATTTCACCATGAAAAATTCCTTTTTCAACAAGTTTAATTATTGCTGGTTGAGGTCGACCTAATTCCCATGGGGGCCATCTGTTAAGGACGTTCAGGCACAAGGGGGATGGGGGACGGAGGGTCAGATAGTCCTGGACGTCCAGAGGGAACGGGGGTCAGCCAAACATGGACATTTCAGGACAGGGGGGGGGGGAAAAAAAGGGCCTTTTTGCCTGAACGTCCCTAATGGATGGCCTCATGGACTATCACCAGTTCCCGATATACGAAAGAATAATTCTTGAGGTAATGCTTCATCTTGGGCCGTCATATTGTTTTATAACAAGTGTACAAAATGAGCGAATATTTATATGGAATAATGATAGTGCAAAATAAATGCCTCGTCATCATGATAGAGTTTTGTTTTATCATATTTGTTTATTATGATGTATCAAAAAACGAAATTTATATTTTATAAGATAAAAGTACATAATTTGTAAAATATTAAACATAAATAGTTTATTTTTTTTTGTATCAAATGATATTATAATATCTAAAATTCATAGAGGAGGAGAAAATATGACTCATAGAAAGAGTTGTGATTCGTTAAAAAATACACCGATCAATAGTAAAGAAAAAAAACAATGAATTTATATGAGAAATATAAACAAAAGAAATTATTTTAGTAAATGGGAATATGTTTTAGGTTGAAAATAAAATCTCATTATTAAATGGCTAAATATAGAAAATGATTCTCTGATAAATGTTACCGACATAATAGTATTGTACTGTGAAATTCACAAATTCAACTAGGCAAATAATTCTTAAGAAATTACAACTGTTGATTATATAAAGTATTTAATATAATAAGTTTGAAAAAGAACATGTTTTTGATAAAATCACCATTTATCAATATATTATTAAATTTGACTAAGCTATGTTATAGTTGGTTACGTAACTCGGGCAACTAATTTTATATAATTTTCAATTTCCTTTCAGCTAATCCTCTAGAGAATGAATTTAACATTGCTAGAAAAAAAGACAAACACATTTCACATCCACACCTTAAACTATACATTATCTTTCGCAGATTGATATCATTGATTTGCTGACAAATACGAAATAAAAAAACATAAAATATCTTTGTTCATTTCTTTTACTGCTCAGCAGTTATCTTCTTGCATAAAGTACCTGTTTTTTCTTAAAAATTGATAATGAATAAAGTTGAGGATGCTATGTAGTAAGAATTTGTTTCCCTGAATACTCTTCAACGGTGAGTTCATGTATTTGATTATGAATTCGAGATAGGATTTTTTACAAATACTTAAAAAAATTTGAGGATCTGTCAAAGAAGTCTGTTCATACAACGAACTGATGTTCATAATTGTAGTGATATTAAGATTACGAATACACATAGAATCAATTAAATCGTTGATTAGCATCCACAACTAAATAAAAAATATGAACTGTATTGCATTTTCTAAAAATAAGAAATAAAACTTCATCAGGTATCATCAGTGTATTGACATGATTACTCACTCCGTTAAAATTTCTTAATGGTCGGGTGATCAACTTCTAACTCTCTTGCTTCTGCTTTTCGTTGTATGTTTAATATGGACTGATAATTCTATTTTTTACATCTAAAAATCGAGTTTGTCGAACAATTGACATGGATATGATCGACTTCAGCAACGAAACTTCTTAGCTAATACAATTAAGTTGTTGCAAGACACGACAGTTTAGCAGACATTCTAAAACATACAATTTCTCTTTATTAGAATATAAAAGCTCGATTATTCAAATAATATGTGAAAAATGAACACATTTTATTAGTAACGAACAAATTGTGTTATCACTACTGTGTGTGTTATGGATCATACAGCTCAGCACTACTAGTGTGTGTGTGTGCGGGTTTGGGGTGTGGATCTGGGAGGACGTAGGTGTGGGTTTACATGAATAAATTACAGGCCTCGCAGCCGGTATACTTTCCTGTTTTTTTCCTGTTTTTTGAAAAACGTCCTGTTTTTCCTAATTTCGGCCAAAAATCCTGAATTTCTCCTGATTTTTTATAATTCATTCGCATAGTCATTGTATTTGCCTTATCATAACATAATATAATATTCTTATCTTAATTTATTTTCAAAATGCATATTAAAACATCATATATTATACAATATCTTTAACAAAAGCAATATAATTTGTAAAAATAATGTTTACTTTCATCATTCATCATTCATTTTTTCTTTTTTTTTTCTCAATCGGTTTAAATTTTCACTATTATCAAGTAATTGAGCTTTCAAAACAGATAATTTAGCATTAGCAGCGGTTACAAGTAATTCAGCTGTACCAACATCATTAAAATCTTTACTATTCACAGCTGTGGCAAGTCTTGTACTTCCTTCTTCCAACATTTTCATTGCACTCACTAAATCTTGTTGTAAAATGTTTTGTTAGTTTAATAAATCAATTTCTTTTTCTTCTACATGTCCATGTAGTGATCGGTACACTATTTTCTTCTTCCTTTAAAGCGTCGTGTCTCTGATATATTTATTATTGTTTTTTTTTCTTGCTCCTCTCTATGATTACATTAGAGTATCTAACATTATCCAGTCAGATTTTTTTCTCATACTCCGATGGTTTTCCATCGTCATATACTTTGGGTAATGACATCGAAAAATACTATAAAAATAGTAAATAGTAAATGCAGATACTAACTATCATCATGTGTTAATGCTCGTTGTTCTTTCTCAACAATAACAAAAGATATTCTTGTTGTATTTCTATCAATAGATCCTGTACCTAAACATGTACTATTATCATTCTTATTTTTCGATAAAAGTAATGATTGATTATTTGATGCTGTTAGTAAAGTAAAATCAAGCACATCTTTCATACATTGAATATGTTATGACCGATTAAAATGCCTCTTTAAATTAGCCCATCCTCCATTAGTACAACTAAAATTACCTGAATTGCATACGATACATTGAAATGAACTGGTAGTTTTACCTTGTTTAAGCCATCGAGAATTCACTCTACCAGTATTATCTGAGTTTTGCAACCATTTTGATCAAAACTTTATATTTGTCAGCATCAGAAAATATTTAGTCAAAGGGATACATTTTTTCAAAATCAAGTCAATATAAGATAATAGTTGTCTTATATAAGCAGAGAATAAAAACACAATAAAAGTATGACAATAGAAGAGAAAGAAAAGAACTAAATAGAGCAGAACGAAAAGTATATAAACCTGAATAACACAATAAGTTTATATATGATTCATACTGTTTTAAATAACTTTAGTATTTACTTATAACAACCTATATTTTGATTGTTACAAGCTGTTATTATTGCACTTTCTTCGACGTCGATTTTACTCGAGAAAAGCAATATTAGAAGAAAGTTTACCTTTCCTGACTTTTACGAAAATTCCTCATTTAAAAAAAAAAAATTTCCTGTCCTACTTCCTGACTTTGGAACACATGCCGCTGCGACCCCTGTCTACGATTCTTACTATTATATTTGATTTTTTTCTATGATCATGAATTGATGTATTTTATCAAATGTCAAAACTGATAAATATATTGTGAGGCTTGCTCAGAGAGAGCAGTCATGTCTTAGTGAAGATAGATGATTCTTTATGAAAACAACATGTTTATTACGGAACTCGAAACGACTTATATAGATTAAAATAACAGGGATAATTAGGAAGAGAGTCATTATATATGCTAAGAGAACACAGAATGAACTAGAGTCAGCTGATAACATACTTTTTAGATAGGAAAGAGAAAATGGCCTACATAAATACACGAAGGACGAATGAAAAATCACGATTATAATCTTTTGACTGAATCATAATCCCAAATCTCATAAAAATTGATTTGATTCGGTTAAATAAGATTTATATTATTAGTCCATTACAATTGAAGGAATTGATAAAAACTGAGAATGTTTTCTTTTTAATTCTTTGCTCTGATATTTGATGTTGCTCTTTTAAGTGTAGGTAGTTGAAACGGAGCTATTCGATTTTGTCTTTTCCAAAAAAAGATTCGATCTTTTATTTGTC